TATTTATTTTTATTGTTTTTCTCTTCGGTAATTTCAGTGGGTCTCTTCTTGGCTGTTATTTTGTTGTTGTTTCATTCGGTTTTGGCCTTTCTTATTTCTCTCACGTTTTGGGCTTCGTACAAGTTTATGGCGCAGCCTGAGAGCGCCGTCGTGAATGGATTGAATTGGATTGGGGAGTTGGAGTTGGAGTTTTCAGTTTCCAGTTGGAGTACAGTGAAACGACGAGGTACAGTGGAGCAATAGCAATAGGGAGGGGGGCAGCCCCCCATTAATGCTGGAAACGTGATGTGCGGCTTTTTGTGTAACTCGCCGTGAGAACATCGCGGCTTTGCAATCGCTCAGGTTTCGCTTCGCTTTAGATGACAGCAGCGAATTGAAACGTTCGAATTGTAAACTGAATCGGAATCTGAATCAAAATCGGAATCGGAATCGCAGAGATCCCAGCAACTGCTGCACGTAGATGGATCATCAATCCACGGATTGCCTTTCCGCTTTTTTCTTTCTTTATTTTAAATTTTCTTTTGTTTTATGGCTGCACTGGTAAACCATCCCATTTGCATACTGAACGCACAAACTCACAGCGGCGTTAATCAGTCAATTGTGTTTGGCCTTCGGAGTGTGAAAATTGCTGCAATCGCTAAACGCGCAGCTGCAATCGCGATGCAAGTACACATGATCCACTTGGCTGGCGATCTATCATCATCCGTTTGGGGCCGAGCCCTTGAAACCGGGGGGCTTGGCCAATTGTCCGATGCGATGGGGTCATTGGAGCCAAATCATTGAGTTTCCATTACCAAATTGAAAGCTAAAAGGGCAGCTTTATCCGAAACCCAGTTTGTAGTTCAAACCTGTGCTCTACTTTTTCAATTTTCTGATTTCATCGATCAAATTGAGTGTTAATGATTCGAATTAGTTTTCCACTTTTTGTAGGCTGTATGGAAATCAATTCATTAATCAGCATCATCAATGCTGAGCTCTAGTTTAAGCTTTAGTAGAACATTAGACGTTCCACATCAAATCGGATTGTTTCCAACCCACTTGAGAAAATTCCATAATTCAATTGAAGCGAATTTATAATACTAGATTGTGTGTCGAAAAGTGTGATTCGTTTCAAGCTTAGAGATTATAACAAGTTTTAGCTTTGCGTTGAATGTTTATAATTATTTAGTTCATATCAATTTGATGTGGATAATTTAATTCTTATGCCTAGAAGAACCATTACAAATGTTTTTAAGGCATTTTAAATTCATTAATATCCAAAATGCTTGATGGTTTAATATGTGATTTATAAATGGAACACAGTCTTATATTTTGTTACTACATCTTTAATGGATGTCCAATAGGCAACATCTAGAATCTAAATGTGGTCTTTACAAGCGATTGTGAAATGCAATGGAGAATGTAGTACGCAATGCTGTGCCCATTTCAAGCGATCCCCCCTGAGAAAGAGACTTCTGTGTTCCCCAGTAATGATCGAAGTAGCGCCAAATCAATTTCCATTTCTACTTAATGTGTGTGTAGCCGCGATGTGTGTGACCTCAAAGCTGGTTAGCTGACTCTTGCGGCACACAAACGCTCATTTATATCTAGCTAGATAGATGGGTATATATATCATTCGAGAGTGGAAACCACAAAGCTAATTGCTTATGCACAGCGCATAACCTTGCCACTCCATGACACTTCTTGCTTCGCTGAGTACTGAGTACCGAGTACCGAGTACTGAGTACAAAGTACCGGGATTTAAGCCCGCAAGTTGAAAAACCCTTCCAAGCGTCCGAAACCAAAGAATCGGCAAAGGGGCTTAGAGTGGAGAAAGCTTTCATCATCATCATCATCATCTTAATCATCATTGTGATTTTTGTGCAGCAGCAGCCACATTGAAAAGGAATGGCGGAGAATGGAATGGTTTGCAGTGGTAGCAGCCCGTCTTGGCCTGGCTTAATTGAAAATTCACAGTAATGCCAGCTAGAAAACGACAGCTGCTGCGGATAAACATGAGGAAAACAGAGGAAAACAGTGGAAAAGGCAGCCAGACCAGAGAAAACACATTAAAATAATATAATTATTTTTCTTGCCCAGACTTTTGTATCTTCTCCACCTTTTTCCCCTCTCCTCTCGCCGTTTTACACTTTTATTTTGCTCTTAAGCGATTTACTTCTTCGGCTTGAGATTTCCGCATGCTTTGTCAACCGTGAACGGGCACGAACTTTCATTTTAAAATTCTCGAAGCGTGTTGCGCACACTCAACAGTAAAAAACCACACAACCGCCCCATTTTCCAACTCTCTAGTGTCAATTGCCGGGTTTCGGAGGAGTAGAACCCACGAAAAAAAAAAAAAAATAAAATAATAATAGAAAAGTAAAAATCCCAAGTGTCATCATCATCGTGATCACCTCCGCCCCAAAAAACGAACTGTCTGTCTAAGATCTTTCATGCTTTTGCACTCGGCTTTCTTTGGAAACTTTCATGGCTGCCAGCTTGGCTTAATTCTAGCAATTTATATGGCCAACAACGTGCTTGGCAAATCCACTAAGAAACGAGCATCATGACGAGACGGAAAAACAAAATGAATTTCAGAATTTGCATGCATGTAATTCGCTAATTAAAAGCCATAGAAAGTGTTCCCCTTTAGAAGTGCTTTAGCTTCAGTTTTACAGTCGCCAAATCCATAAGACACACTTTCGATTTTTCAGCCAGGTGTTGGCTGGCACCACCCATCATCATCATCATTATCACTATCATTATCATCCGAGCCAATTCAATCTCGAGTACTACTGGCCCGTTGTGAAAGTTCCCAAACACTTCCCGAGGTGTCAAAACGGCGAGGCCATTCTATTTTTCACACCTTTTTCTTTTACTTTTCCGTAAGCTATGCTTCAGCTGAACAGATAATTTTCCATATCTCTTTATATATATATATATATTTTTTTTTTTATTGCTAACTGTTTCAAGTCGTCATCTTGTTTCGTTTGTCTCGTGCCACTGAATCACTGAATTTGCTCATCGGGCACGTTGTTCATGCCAGATAAGCTCTTTCTTGTTTGTCATGTGCCGGGAAATTCTGTGGCATATTCATAAAGTTGAGATCCGTGTGTCATCCAATGCGATACAGTAATCGCCAGCTTGAGCAGGGCTTACTCTGCTAAAACTCTGACGTCCATTTGGGTTTTAATCTCGAAGTCGCTACCCGAAATTGCCAACTTTGACTTACTTCCGAAAATATATGGCAATTATGTGAGTTTGTCAGGGTTCTTGAAAAGATAAGGATTATAAATATGTGAAAGAGATTTAATTTCAAAGCTCCATGGGCATCTAACAAACAAAAATATTTTAGAAATTTTAATCTTCTTGTTTGCCTGCTTCTCAAATTCTTGTTATTTTTTAATTATTTTAGAACCAGATACAATTTTAATATCAATCATTGGGCCTAAGTAAGGCATCTTAATCTTCTTAATCTCATTTAATTTGCATTCATCAGGCTGACATCGTCCTTGCCCCAAAAGATTTATCACCGACAATCCTTTTGTGTTGATTTTGTGCCATTACCATTATATTGATTTTCATTTACCAAATAGTTTCAAATATCCCCCCATCGGTTCAATCAGTTCCCAATCTATTTAGATTGACTAGGTGCCCTTCTCTTTTCAGCAAGGCTAGGGTGGACCCAATCCATTATGTGTGGGTATTTGGGTGAAGGTTATCGGGTGTCCAACTCCTTTTTTTTCTTTTTTTCTTTTTTTTTGACGCGCTGCTTGCAGTCTTCAGTCAATTTTGCTGCGAGTTACTTCTCCTGTTTTTTTTTCTTGAACATCTTTTGGGCCGCAGGTTTTCCAGTTTCTTGGGGCCCAGCCCATTTCTTGGTCGTGCTTCTTTAATGATGTGTTTTAATTTTGCTTTTGTCGTTTCGCTTTTTTGCCTGCGATTGCGTAAGCCAGCGGATGATGACGCCGCCGCCTCTTACTTTCTTTTTCTTTTGGCCTGTGCCGGAGTTGTCTTAAAGTATGACTTAAAAAACCACATAAATAAGCGACAATTTGAATCGAATGTGAAAAGGAACTCTGAAATGGCAGCGCAGTTTCTTTTTTGTTGTTTGTTTCCCATTTATTTGTACAATTAAATCTTTAAACTTGCTGTTCCCTTGGGTGTTGAAGTATTTGCATTAATTAACTGCAGTGCATAAAAAAGGGAAAAACAAACAACTCAAGCCAAGCTGAAAAGTTGAAGCAAAACAAAAAGTCAGGCCAACGCAAAAACGGAAGAAACTTATAATTTATTTCTTTAGTAAATCTAATTAACATATAAGCGGATTTCAGCTTAGCAACTCACACCAACACGCGCCTACACGAATCACTCACCATTGCGAATTTGTTTGCATTTGTTGTTGTTTTTCTTTGGTTTTGTGTGAACTACGCAACGAGTCGAAAAACTCACGCGATCGCATTTTCTAACGATATATACACATATTTAAATATATATATTTTTCTGTGGGGTGCCTGAAAGCGCGCACATTTCTATATGTATAAAAACTAAATAATAAATACAAAAGCTCAAAGCACATGGCATTGCCATCATCGCACTGTGGGAGATTAGCGACCAAGAATTTATTACAAAATTGGTTCAACTCAGTCGGATTTTGGTTGGGATTATGCGGATTAAGGCTTTCGTCAAACCAATGTTGTTTGTATATTTAGAATCAAATCTTGCAGGCTTATTTATGTGCAACAATTATTTTGGTTCCCGAAAATCTAGTTTAATCCTAATCCCCGTTAAGTGGTTTTCGTTCCACTGTGCAGTTCTTGTGGAAAAATTTGAAGCTGATGAATGACACATACTGGCACCCAAAGCACGAGAAGTTTTCAATGGCTTTTTACCATTTCGCAAAGCAACGCGAAAGGGAATGGTCAAAAAGCAGAAAAAAAGAAAAAATAATGAAAAAACAGAAAAAGAAGTTGAAAGTTCGCTTTGAAACTTAATTCCCTGTTTGTTTTATTTTTATTTAGAAGAAAGTTTGGCTTAAACAAGAGTGAAAGATGGAAAAAAACGAACTGAATAAAATTAAATTGTGTGCAAAATCAGTTAACAGCAGCAGCAGCAGCAACAGCAACAGCAGAAGCAGCAACAACAAATAAAGTAAATTATAGTGACAAAATAAAAAAGCCAAAAGTGACAGTGAATAATGTTGAGAGCTCCCACACAGCACATCGTGCAACTCGGCTTCGGAACGAAGAATACGACCACGACAACAACAACAACAACAACAGCAACATCAGTTGCAGCAGCAGCAGCAGCAACACCAAACGGCAAGCAGCAACATCAGCGCAAAACTTTGTTGCAACGCTTCAGGCAGCAGCAACACAAGTTGCCGAAAGTCACAGCAGAGGAGACACATGAAACAGAATATTATTTCAAGCAGCAACAGAAGCAGCAGCAGCAAACTTCTTCTTATCAACAAGGCGACAATTGCTTGTTGTTTCTGACATCAACGTTAACCACAAACTCGGAGCAATTGCTGAAGAAGCCGAAGAAGAAGAAGGAGTTGGGCGGCTATAATTTTGCGGCGGCTCTCAGGCGAAACAAGAAGCCAAAGCCAGCGGCAACAGCAGCGGCAACAGCAACATCGACCGACGACGACGACAGTTGCCGCAGCATCAACAGCAACAGCGGCAGCGGCAGTGGCAGCAGCACAAGCGGCAGCAGCCACAGTTTGTCTAATAGTTGCATTAACAATCATAACAACACTCATTATAGAAACAGTAAAAACACGCGGCACTCGGGTAGCAACAACAATAACTACATTCGTAATTACAATTGCAAAACAAGTGAACAACAAGCGTGGAAAGCAGCTACAGCAGTAGCAACAGCAACAGCAACTACAGCAGCAACATCAACACAACAACAGCAGCAACAAGTGCTCATTAGCAGGCCAAGTGATCGGCAATATCCCAGCAGCAACATCACTTGCAGCAACACCAGCAACAGCAACAACAGTGGTGGACATCATCATCCTATCATCATGTCACCCACTTCACAAGCGCCAACGAGAACCTCCCTCTTCGATTCCTGTCATCGGAAGATCCGACTAATCGGCGGCGGTCCAGTTGCCTTCTTGGGCGGATTGGTTGCGTAAGTCTTTAAATGCCATTCGAATTGAATTTATAATGTTCTCGACGAACAATAGAGCTGTATGATTTGTGTTTTCGGGGGGATTAGCAAGGTGGCAGAAAGAGGGGAGTCCCCAATCCGGTATTTTCGGCAGATTTTGCCAGTTTTATTTAGTCATTGTTGCTGGGGCTTTCGTACAAAAATACGTCAGCTGTGTCAATCATATTGTTCACAAGTTATTAATTGCCCAATTCAAGAGAATTTCTAATAGCACTTGATACATTCGCTGCCATAATTTAGCATAACTTATAAACCAGTTTTGAAAGTACAGACTGAATGCTATTTTTAACCATGAGAAAGTAACTGATTTACGGTTCTAGTTTGCCAGCCTATAAACCACAATTGAATTAATTAGACAATTAAAAGGATTGATAGGATATCGTATTCCATTATTACTTGTTATTTAACTTAGGCTATATTTTATTTAATTAAATGCATTAGTTTCCCATGAGATAATATGATATACTTACCTGCAAGAATGATTTATGGACAGCTTTGTGAATGCCCAATAGTTTTAGGCTAACAATAAGTACTATTAATCTTTTTTCCATCAACATTACGCTCGTTAGCATTCACTCTATTGCGATCAACTTTCTAAGGTCGAGTCATGGAGAATTGCACAAAGTTATAATTTGTCCGCATTAGGGAAATACTTAAGATACCCGTGTCAGAGGTCGAACAAAGGAAGCCGAAAGCAAAAAAAAAAAAAACTGAACGAACAATAAAGAACGCAGAAAACAGAGCAGATAAATGCGGTATTTACTCATTTTTATGGCTTTAATTACGAGCATTTCTCAAGCGGCTTTTGTAGAGTTATTATTTTTTTTCGTTTTGTTTGGTGACCACCAAAAACACTTTGTGGTGCGCAAATTCAAGGTTCAAGCGGCAATTAAAACATCACAAGAGTGGAAGCAGCCAAGAAGCAAACAGAAATAGAAACTGAAACAAAGGTGGCCAACGAAATTTATGCATATGCTGGGCCTAAAGCTAACACATAAAAATGCGACCCCAAGGTCACCAGAATTAGGTGGTGACCCAAACGCGAAGCTCTGTAAAACAAAACTGTAACTTGGCGACTGGCTTTGTGGGCTTAACAGCTGATGCTGCTGCTTCCTTATTTGCAGTGTCCAAATTTAACTCAAACGAGCATTATCTGCTCGTGATCCGGCTTTATTTGAGAAGCAAAGTTAAACGAACTCTCAAATTACCGAGGTGAGACAACCGCAAAGCGTTGACACTCTGCCACAGAGTGCGCTGAACTGATAATTAGTTAGGAAACCAAATATTGACACACATGAACATGCATAAATACTATACGAATAGGAATACTATAAAATCCACGAAGTAACGTTCTGAGTAACAACTTATTCACTGGGTTTTGGGGGTCGCCTTTGTGCATGCCACTCACATACAGACCCTCCTCCTCCTCCCCCCAAAACAATGACTAACAGTATAAGTATACAAAGTGAGTGAGAAGCAAGCAGCAGGAGAACCACATAACAACAGTCATTTGTTCAGTGAGTTGATGAAGGAAATGCGGCTGGGGAGTAGGGAACGCATTATGAAAATGATAATGATAAACCTGTCAGAGAGTGTCAATGGCACACTAAGCTACCAGGCCCCAAAAAACAACTCCATCCCCGAGCCCTGAATTTACATAATAATAATGCTCGAAACTTTTGATTGTCTCATTTGCTTCGGTTTTCTTCAAGAAGTTCCAAAATTTGAATAAAAACATACTATGTAAACAAATAAAAAATTAACAAAAATAAAACGGACAAAGACTCAGGTCTTCATAAATGAGTAATATTGTCTGCAGACGAGCGAAGATCTCTTTGTGGCCAACTGTACTTTGGAGGTAATTGAACACAAAGAAATATACACAAAGTGTTTAACACTTGAAAAACTTCCTATACGACAAAAAACAGCAATATCCTAATTCTTTTTTGCTGTTTATCAAAGTTTTAATTAGGAGGTGTGTTGAAGATATATCTCTTAAATCTACAACTGTGGGAATTAGAATTGTTCTTCCAAATTTGAGATCATCACTTGTGACTCACTAACAAGCTTATAATATTTGCTATTTTAACAAAAAGAATCGTTATGAGATGGGTTTATTTGTTTTCATTGTTGTATAACAACAAGATTGGAACTTTGAACATGGTCACTCTGCTGTAATTTTGCTTCTTGTAATTACTCGGTCACATTAATTTGACCACTCACTCCCTAAGTTTTGTAGAAAGCGTAAATAGTAGCTAGCTTTCTTAGTAAGAGTTTCACTCAGTCATCTACGAAGGAAGTGGACTCCACCTCCATTTCTTTGGTTTGTTTCTTTTTTCCCTTGGGCACCGAATGCCACTGTTACAATGGGTCCACTTCGGTCCAGTAAAGTAAAGTACATAATACAAACCAGCCCAAACACACATGTTACTTGCACTTTTTCCTCATTTTCTTACTCCGTGTCTGGGCATTATTAATCTTGGTAGCAGCTACAAGCCGCTTTTCCCCTGCCCTTTTCGCCAGCTGCTCAACTTTGGCTCGTTGGGTTTTTCGCTCCACATGCTTGGGCCCCCGACTTCGACTTCGGTGCCTTATCATATGGCCGGGGAGCTCCGTTTCTGTTACCGTTTCTGCTCCAGCTGGCTGCTAACGTTTTAATTTCCTGTCCCAATTTAATATGTTTGGTGTATGCCGGACTTTTATAGCCCGACCGTTTTGCCTTTGCTGATTTGCGATTTACGAGCAATCAAAACATTTCTGCAGACAGAGAAAGAGCGGCTTAGAGATTTTCAGATTTAATTCTAGATGGAGCACTAGAGTGAGGCTTTCCGTTCCGTCCATTAGTTCGGTCTGCTAATCATCTGGGCTTTAACCCGCCACAGCTGTCACATCACCTTGGGCTTTGGTATTCAAACGAGAACAGGTGCTCCGACGATCCCGAGCTTCTAAAGCCGCCGTTCATTGACACTCCACGCACTGGACCACTTAATGACTGACGAACTGACGAACTGACTGACTGACTAACTGACTGACTGACTAACTGACTTACTGACAAAGGGAACAGCTGTCGCGGAGACAAAGACAAAAGCGCCTCCGGATCAAGCTCGAATTAGTGCAGCCAGCAGGCGTATCAAGGTACTCAACTCGAACCCGAGTTCATTACGATTGCCTGACGGCCAGCAAGTCAGCGATGGAGAACGGGCAATTAGCGCCCAGGGCCCCAAGAATTAGAACTGGCAAAGGTTTCTTGCATTAAGGTGTTTTAATGTGTGAAGAACATTTAAAACGCCCATTGAAAAATGATTCAAGGGTTTCCAAATTACGAACAAATTAGATATTTTTAAACCTGTTAAAATCATGGAACTATAAAAACATAAGCTGCGGGAACTTTTAAATAATTCTAAAAAATGTTTTCTTAAGATAAAATAAGTTTGCATTACCCCCTATTATAAGAGAAAAAACATAAAATATTTTAATAAGAAAAACCGGGCTCAACATTAATTTTTCCTAAATTAATATAAATGCAGTTTATCTTAAAGAAACTTTAAACTAGTTTTATGAGATTATGACTTATGGCTTTCCTGTTTTAAAAGGTCAGCTTGCTGTTAACACTGATAATTTATGAATGTGTCAAGTATGTTAATAAGCTTTTAATGCAGTTAAGGATGAGTGAACCCTTGTTTAAGATTTAATTGATTTTGTAACGGTTATCTCAGTTTCTGTATGGAGCATTTCAACTATTCCCAACTGAGTTCATGTGACTCCTTTAACCCGACCTCCAAAAATGAAGTAAACTTCTTGAAAGCAACGGCACTTCGAGACGAATCAAGAACGGTGTCTTAACTTTAGAGCAATTATCCGTTTGGGAAGAGAAACAATTGCCATAAAACAAACTTCTAATTGCGACCCCCGACCCCAGTTAGCCAACAATTGTGCAACGGTAGCCAGCGGATAACGTTAGCCGTCCAGATGCTGGCTGTAATTATTTGCCCATTAGCTTGGCGCGTATGGCAAATGTTGGAAATTTGGAACACGACTTTGGTGTCGAATGGGGGAGCAATGCCAAAGCGGCAAAGGTCAACGGAAATTTCCATTTCCCAGAACCACTCGCTTCCATCTGATGCCAAAAAGATGACAATGGGCGACTTGGCAGCCTCGTGAACTTGTTTTCAACATAATTGCAGGTGGGCCCAAACAAGAAAAAAAAGAGAAACAATAGGCGTAACCCTAGGTGGAAATTTTAAGGGCTTAAATGGGGTTACATAAATCTAAACTTTTTCTCTTTTATTAGGGACATTGAAAAGAAAATGTATGGTTACACAACATTACAAATTTTTAATAAAAAACAATTTTTAACGAGCGAACAAATACTTCTTTTGAGCTTAAGATTTTTTTAAAAGTCATTAACCCAAAGAATTACAGTTTTTTATTGTCCCATTTAATATTTGGGCCTCGTTAAATTCGACCTAAATAACAAGAGACCAATCCGACCCCGTCCCCTTAAAAGTTCATTAAAATAAGAGCATCATTTGTCTCTTTTTATAATTTGTTTTACGAACTGTCTTCGTTAGTTTTTGCCCCCAAGTAATTGCTACCGCACACATTGGTAGCCCATAAAGCCCACTTTTTATGGTGTTTCTACAGTAAATTTGTTTTGTGTTTTTTGTATTTTCAATTTCACCCGCATGCAGAATTGCAGAAACAGAAAAAGTGAGTAACGAAGCCCATAAAAGTTTACCTTGACTTGGGGCCAAGTTCCGGCTGTGGCTCATTTACGTGCCCAGCTTTTCGCCATCCCGCTCTCGCTCTCTTGGCCGCTTTTTAATCCATTTAGCCACATGTGATTGCCCGTCATCAGCCGCCATCCATCTACCTGTCCGGGCGAAGAGTCTCTCTCTCGCTTTTAAATACTTTCCATTATTATTATTATTATTATTTTGTGTCTCTTGCTTTTGTCTTCA